AACAATAGGTGCTTTTATATAGCTCATGTCCAAGCCCTACAGCATGCTGTATGTGATTTACAAGTAGTTTACTTGTGCTCCTGTCGAATAGTGCCGAAACATAGTCCACATTAGGCAGTCTAAAATAAAACGCGATATACTGCACACTTTCCTATGCCAAAATTGTGTGGGACCCGGAGCGATCGAGCAGAGTGCTCTAGAGAATTTTGATTGGTTCATTGTCTGCCTTGCCACTATTTTAAGTGACTCTGGCACCGTGAGCCTGAGGGAGGTGTACGTGACCGTCCTGTGAGTTGTGCCTTTGAATGGTTTTGCAGTGGAGTGGTGAAAGTTATTACTTGAGTGTTCAGTTCTCATGCAGGATGAACGAAATTGATGTTTAGCTAACAAGCAAATTTAGTTCTAGAAATCAAAGCGACAAGTAAAAAGAATGAAAATAAAAGCACGAGGCCCTCCCTCACCAACCCAAAGATCCTAAAACTATAAGCCATCCCATTAATTATGCCCTTGGCCATCTTCAGCCTGCGATAGCTTAATTGTGCACGCACATCTTTTTTCCCCATGAGCCGCCCCTGGCATGGTTTTTGAAGATCAGCAAATAGGCAGACACGTCCCACCTTATGCACTATTGATGTTTTTGTTGGGGTTTTTTATCTTCATTTCCAAAGGAGCCCCGCCTGCTATTGTCTTGTTGCAGCGACAGTTGTACTTTACGACAAGTCTAAATTACTCAATTTGTCTTGTTGCAGCGACAGTTGTACTTTACGACAAGTCTAAATTACTCAATTTGTCTTGTTGCAGCGACAGTTGTACTTTACGACAAGTCTAAATTACTCAATTTGTCTTGTTGCAGCGACAGTTGTACTTTACGACAAGTCTAAATTACTCAATTTGTCTTGTTGCAGCGACAGTTGTACTTTACGACAAGTCTAAATTACTCAATTTGTCTTGTTGCAGCGACAGTTGTACTTTACGACAAGTCTAAATTACTCAATTTGTCTTGTCGCAGCGACAGTTGTACTTTACGACAAGTCTAAATTACTCAATTTGTCTTGTCGCAGCGACAGTTGTACTTTACGACAAGTCTAAATTACTCAATTTGTCGTGTTGCAGCGACAGTTGTACTTTACGACAAGTCTAAATTACTCAATTTGTCGTGTTGCAGCGACAGTTGTACTTTACGACAAGTCTAAATTACTCAATTTGTCTTGTTGCAGCGACAGTTGTACTTTACGACAAGTCTAAATTACTCAATTTGTCTTGTTGCAGCGACAGTTGTACTTTACGACAAGTCTAAATTACTCAATTTGTCTTGTTGCAGCGACAGTTGTACTTTACGACAAGTCTAAATTACTCAATTTGTCTTGTTGCAGCGACAGTTGTACTTTACGACAAGTCTAAATTACTATATTTGTCTTGTTGCAGCGACAGTTGTACTTTACGACAAGTCTAAATTACTCAATTTGTCTTGTTGCAGCGACAGTTGTACTTTACGACAAGTCTAAATTACTATATTTGTCTTGGACGTGGAGTTTGCACTGACGTCACCAAACATCCGACAACAGGGTCGCGATCGTCCCTTCGTGACCAACTCATTCTCAGGTCTCCATTTTTGACCTATTACTTCATGAAGTCGTAAATTCCAGTCGTTTTTACATTTTCAATGTATGATAGATGAGTTCTTGTAATACATGATTTTTTTTTTTTTTTTTTTTTTTTGGGGGGGGCGTGTTTTTTTTTGGGTGGGGGACGCTCAATTTTATATTAGACAGCAAAATGGATTTTCGTTGATAATTAACTGCTACTGATTAGTTAGCAAAAATTCTCATTTGTTGTTTTTGGATTTTAAAAAAAAGGAAATGTAATCTCATCCATATCAAATCTCTTACTAGAATACATGTATTGTTTAACTCTTCCAGCCCCATGTGCGTATATTTTCAGCTGCACTCGTACCTTGCACCGCCCCAAGAAGAGGGTATACACGAGCTCAATTAAACTTTCATTTTCATATTTGTTCATTTACCTTTAAACATTGTTATATGTTATTATTTAAACCTCATTACAAAGATACAGCATCACTTTTTTTTAAAGCATGCCTCTTTTTTCTGAAATACTGCTGTATTGGCGGGGACTGGGGGTCGGGAGTGCACAAAAATGGCTGGAACTGGAAGGGTTAATTAAAAGATAAAAATATTTTTTTTTAATCCATCACATGCTTTTTCGGTTATCTTATATATTTTTTTAGATTTTTTTTTTATTAGTCCATTACTTCCCCAAAACGAAGTCAGGTACCCAGTACAGGTGGGTGGGCAGGAGAGGACGAAATAAAATCCCAGGCCGAACCGAGGCTCGAACCTGTACTTTCTGCTTTGGAGACAAGCGCACTAACCACTCCGCCACTGTAAGCTACAGGCTTTAAAAATACTGTAATAGTGCTGTGCGGTCGTGTTTCCACCGTGAACGACAACAAAGTGGGAATCCCTCAATGACGTCAAACAAGATAGCTGTTTCTATAAATATCGGTCTGTGGCGTACATCTGTTGAATAATAATAATAATAATAATAATAATAATAATAATAATAATAATAATAACAACAACAACAATAATAACAATAATGATAATAAAGAGAAGAAGAAGAAGAAGAAGAAGAAGAAGAAGAAGAAGAAGAAGAAGAAGAAGAAGAAGAAGAAGAAGAAGAAGAAGAAGAAGAAGAAGAAGAAGAAGAAGAAGAAGAAGAAGAAGAAGAAGAAGAAGAAGAAGAAGAAGAGGAAGAAGAGTATTGATGATAATAATAACAATAATAATAATAATAATAACAACAACAACAACAACAACAACAATTATAATTAAGATGATAATAATAATAATAATAATAATAATA